CTGATGTTCAGTGCTGATGTTCAGGTGTATATCAGTATGTAGTGTCTCTACTTTAAAGAGTCCTCTCCTGCTGATGTTCAGGTGTATATCAGTATGTAGTGTCTCTACTTTAAAGAGTCCTCTCCTGCTGATGTTCAGGTGTATATCAGTATGTAGTGTCTCTACTTTAAAGAGTCCTCTCCTGCTGATGTTCAGGTGTATATCAGTATGTAGTGTCTCTACTTTAAAGAGTCCTCTCCTGCTGATGTTCAGGTGTATATCAGTATGTAGTGTCTCTACTTTAAAGAGTCCTCTCCTGCTGATGTTCAGGTGTATATCAGTATGTAGTGTCTCTACTTTAAAGAGTTCTCTCCCGTTGAAATATGACTGAATATAAGCATTAAGTAGCTTCAATAATGCAGTTTATTTTGTTCATTTTTTAAGCAATTTCGGGGGCATATAAGCTCGAAAATGTTATCGCTACATCGTCTAAATATGGGACGTGTCCATTTCTACACAAACTTTCCTTATGATATATTAACCCTGCGTTTTACAATATAAAAACACTTTCATAATATCTGCAACATGCGTTACCAACAAGCTTGTACAATAATGAATTTAAGATTGATTATGTTAAATGACTCTTTATTAAATAACTTTGGTTTAAGCTTGGATATTTGTTCTTTTCTTTCCAAAAGGTGATTACGTGTGGAATCTTTTTTTATCACACAATGGAGCCTAAATGAAATGTCTCCGTCTCTTCTCTCCAGGCGACGTTGACCCTGCAGGTTTCGTACCTCCCTCCTCCAGGAGCGGCAGGTTTATATCATCCGCCCCCCCACCCTGAGCATCTGCCGCACAGCAACCCCGGGGTGGAGATGGACACCGTCACAAGTAAAAAGATCATTAGTGACATCAAATAAATCAGTACATATAAATCATAATAGAAGTGTCTCATTTGTAGTGAAGTACATTTACTCAGGTTTTGACACTTTGAGTATTTTTCATTTAATACTACCTCAAACTTCTACTCGACTTTAGATGCTTTACATATTCACATTATTAGTGAACACACATTTTAAATACACTTCTTCTACTGTTTATATTGTAGTATACATGTTATTTATAGCATTTTAATTACATTTTTGTATCTTTATATATATTTCTCATATTTATTTGAATGTATCTTTTAGTGGATATTTTACTTTAACATCCTATATTTTTATTTAATTAGTTTATTTAATTAATCTTTTTTTGTGTTTCACTCTAAAATGGAGCAACTTTCACGAAACCCAAGTTACCCACTATATTTTTATATAATCTTTTATTTAACATTTTACTTTAACTTTCTTATGTTGATATTGATGTATTTATTCAATTGTATTTACATATTATATGTATTTTTTTTTCAATTTCTTCAATTTCTTCAATTTTTCAATTTCTTCAATCTTTTCAATTTTTTCAATTTTTTCAATTTCTTCAATTTTTCAATTTTTCATTTTCTTAAATTTTTCTATTTCTTCTATTGTTTTTATTTAAAAATATTTTTTTACACATTTTGTGACTCATGTTTTACAAATGTTTAACAAATTTTATACACATTTCTTACACATTTTTTACACATGTTTTACACGTTTTTAACACATATTTAATTGTATAATGAAGCAAGTGTCACTGTCACCCAGTTCTACTTGGGATTAATGAACTATCCTTCTGCTTCTAATTCATCCCATATCTTTCCTCATATATTTCTGTGTCTCCTTCCTCTCAGTGATTTCTCTGGACACTTTGGGGGACGAGGACACGGAGAGCATGATAATGGTGGATCCTCCGGAGGACCAAGGAGGAGACGACGGGCGCTCCATGGTCATCGTGGGTCCTCAGGGGTCGGGCCGCGAGTCGCCTGCCGCTCAGACCCCGAAACGCTCCCCGCCGTCTTATAACACCCAGGGGGGTCTGAGGAAGAGGAGGAGGGGCAACAGCAGCCACAACAAACCCCTGCCCAACAAACCTCAGGATCTGCAGGTGGAGATTTATGGATATCAATACTTTTAACACCTTATATCTATTTTTACGATGAGTGTTATTTGACTTGTTTTCATTTAAAATAGACTTTAACATAAGCAGATGCTGGCAGGTAAGGGTGAGGTGTGAAATTATTTATATATTCACCTTTTTAAAGACAGAAATACAAAGAAGGCTTTTATTTATTCTACTATATTTGAGCTGTAAAATATTCTGCACTCTGTGCTCACAGCGCCGCCGTGTGGTGATTCTGATGAATTACATAAATATCATCATTTTATTTAGTTTTTGTGTATTCAGGAGTGGATGTGATGTTTTATTTATTTAGTGCAGGCAAGAGACACACATGAGCACCCAACAGTGGTGATGATATGATTTGATATTAACATCTCACGAAAAGTACTATAAATAAAAAACAGTAATAACAATCATAACAAAGACAAATGATGAACAGTTATATTATTGTCTCAAAACTATGATACAAATCAAGAGGAACACCTACGTCACTTCCGGGCAAAAATTACGGCCCCGCCCACTTTTGGGGGAAAACAACGCTGTCATTTGAATGGCGGTCAATACAAATTCTGAAGTTTTTGCCCATCCGATCCATTGTTTTTGAAAACCGTGGATTTTTGGATCTTCAAAGAGCTCGATTACGATGGCCAGTCAGGCAAACAATTACATTCGATCATTGGTAATCGACAATCGGTCTTGATATATGGTTAAATTAAAATCAGTAGGCGAGGCTGTAATTTCTCCAGCTGTTACTCTCATGAGTGAGGCGGAACATAATAGTTTTATCATGCCAAAAAGCTGCTGTGTCGTTTATTGCACCTCAAAGATTAAACCAAATCCAGAGTTACGTGTTTCTGTACTTCCTCTAAGAAGAAAGGACAGTAAAAGAAGATCTCTGTGGCTTCAGGCTGATCGGCGTTCAAATGACAGCACTGTTTCCCCCTTGGGCGGGGCCGTAAAGTGACGTAGATGTTACTCTCATCTATGAAAATCGATAGCCTACTGCTATATTTAACCATATATCGAGCCCGATCGTCTATTTCTAATGGCTTAATGCAATTGTTTGCCTGTCTGG